TAGCTGTTTCAAGGTTTTTATCTAGATTTTCATAAATTACAAATAACATAAAATGAAAGTTTTCAATAGTGTCTCAGAATTATTTCTATAATATGAAAATCTGTACTGTAAACTGCTTTAGCCCCTTCGTTATTGAGCAGGATAATGAACTAAAAAATGGAGTTGTCGTTAACACCATTGGTCATACCATAAGTAATAAAAAGTTCAAATAAATTGTTAATAATAAAGACTCATAAAAACACTGACTAGGGTATCTGAATTTGGCACAATTAAAAGTACTCATAATAAAATAGTGTTACAAAATCTTACAGTGGTACAAGAAAAAGATGAAAAGGGAAAAGATTTTTTTAAATAATGTAAACATATTGCAATTTAAATTATAACTACTGAGCAAGAATGATATAAAAATTAGTTAAATCATCATCCTGCATACTATAATAATACTTACAGAGTAGCTTCACATGGATGAGTGCTCAAAACCATTTGGACCAATTTTTTTTAAGCAGCTTTAAAATAACTGACTCCCAAATCAAGATATTAAATGCCAACTTCTAACTGGCAATAACGCTTATGGCTAAGATAGAAATGAGATTCTTTACAGAAACGCTGACACAGCCCTAACTGCAGGCACTTGAGTGCACGGCTATAATTCTTTTTTCAAATCTTACTCAACAAACCTTCAGGTAAAGAAGTCTGCAGAATATGTAAACTGTAAGAGATAGTCCCAGAGCTTTTACAAAATCAACTCCTGACCCATTTATATTTATCTTTGATTGCTTCTACTAAATGACTAAACCGATACATTAAAAATGTATCGATTACCTCTTTAATAGATAAAAGGTGAGCAATGTATTATTAAAAAAAAGCAACATTTCTTAATTCATTCAATTTGCAAGAGCTACACATTTTAAGCTGACAATGTAAAACCTCTAAAAGGTTTTTCAAATAAGCCTTCTGCCTTATTTAGCATTTTGACCACTAATCAGAAATAATAAAAAAAAAGAAAACTAAGAAAAAAAATACAGAACAGAGATGAAGAAAGCTTTTCTTTTCTATTCAGAAATCTAGTTAACCTATAAAATAAATTCCCAAGAGGAGTCAGTTTCCTATGTGGAAGGCATTTAAAACTGAACCAGATGACATAATCTCAGAATAGGCCAAGGGGACACAATTTATACTGGGAGGTGAGTGGCTGGAATAGAGGATTTAATTGTCTAATCCTAATTCTCATTTTTAAAAATGTCTAAGATAATGCTTTTCAGGAGCAGTTAATTTTAAAGCGCATCCAACTCTAAATTATAACCATGATATGGTGTTTTTCTCCTCTGCACTGTCATCTAGACAACAGACAACTATTGATCCTACACTGGGAAACACTGATTTGAGGTATATTGATCAAAACTGTATGAGGAAAATTGCAATTTTTAAATGAAAGACAATCATGAGTTATTACTTCTTATAAATGCAGAACCAGGACTAAATATGCTATGAATATCACAATCAGCAAATATTAACATTATCAATTTTTTAAAATAAACAAAAATATCCTTAATAAATTCATGTGGGTCTATATTATGAGAATGTACTTAAAATTTTAACACCGTAGATCACAGGTATTCTGACTTTATAGGATTCTAAAATTTTGCTAATTTATATTACTTTTAATTTATATTTTACTTTATAAACTCATCATTGTATACAGAAGAATAAGTTGAAATGTTTAACACATTTATTTTAAAAATCAGAGCTAAATTTTATCTTAAACTCAAGCTAATCATCCATTTAAATTCAAATCTAATCTTTTTACAATCTACATTTTACTTGAAGGCAAAAATCACACTTATTATGAGTTACAAATTATCATGCAAATCTGTAAGAAGTTGTCAACTAGCAAAGCCTTTACTTTGGATCATGTCATGAAATAACACTTAATTTATTATAATATTAATTTCAAATGCTAATTTTCATTAGATGGCAGAAAAAAAGTAATGAGCTGTTCATATATTTATGAAGAATATGTCGCTGAATAAAAATTTCAAAGAAAATAATACATTCAGGATTGATATTTAAATTTTGCAAGTACCTAGTAAATCCTATTAGTTAGGTATAGAAACCTGTCTATTAAAAGCCTGGACACAGGCCAGGAAAATTGGGCAGGGACAGGTAACATACACATGTACGTAAGAGGCCACCTGCAGTATTTATTAATTCAGTTTATTGTTTTCTTAAAAATTGTGAATATCACAAAAATAGGTAAAAACATTGTAGTTATTGTACCAGTATTACAGGGTTAGTGATTTGGGGGGGGGGGGCTCAACTCCCTGTGACTGCTTTCAGATGAAACAGGCAATTTTCTTAAAATTAAATTTTCAATATCCCCAAATGAACCCACTCCTCATTAAACATATTTGGCATTTTTAAAAGTATATCCTTCAGGCTGGCAGTGCAGAAGGGAAAGTCAAATCCAACTCCAACAATAACCCTCCCCACACCTCCCCCAAGGGCATATCTACTAAGTACATAGGGTTCCTAGAAAACTAAAAGACTGGCTTTCAAATCTAAAATAACTTTATCCATTTGCTGTTGGGATTTAATAAAGAAGTTCAATATCAGCTGAAAAATATAAAATAAAAGTGTAAGCCACCCAAAGGGCCAGATTAGGATCTTCCTTTTTTGATATCTTCTGGGGTGGGGCCCTGGTGGGATTGGGGGATATTTTAATTTAGATCTACCCTGCCCACACACTCCATTTTCCTTCCAGTTCCTAACCCCCTTGTGCTATGAGGCTGGAAACAGCTCTAAGAATGTGGAGAATGTAAACAGCCTTTTATTGTCCAAAAGGATGGCAGTGTAAGGAACGTGTGCTTATCAGACAGCTGCAGCTCCCCACCTCACTTACCATGATAAAGTGTGCCAGGAAAAAGAAAAGAAAAGAAAAGAAAAGAAAACATTACAAGCCAAGCACAATCCAAAAACGGATTAGAATTTCCAATAAGCTTCCTTAAAAACTAATCAATCAATCCGTGCTGTAATATTAGAATCTAGCTCTTAAGGAGAGCATGTAATACCTTCAAGATGTATTTCCTATTACCTATTGACTATGGTGGTGTGGAAAAAAAATCTAACATTTGCAATATAGTATCTGATAGCAGAACTTTTTACCCAGCATATGCCAAAATATATCTTTAAAACAGATACACAGTTCATGATCACTGAATGCAAAATTAAATTAATGAACTAATAGCTTCATGAAGATATTCTGAAGACCATACCTAAGCACCTGATTTCCCCAGGCTTTTAGAGTTTTATTTACATGCACCATATAAATACTGCTTTGTCAGTTCACCTCTTACTGGAATCCAGATTAAACATTTTAAAAAGCAAGTGATACTAAAGACTAATGTGGCATGCATGTTGCGTGCATAATGCGTTACTTAGATATAAATTTTATTTTAACATGCAGTATTGCATATAGCCAGTGTGTGCTGGCTCATTCAAGGGCACTAGGGAACATCACTACATTTCCTCCTTGATGCCACTGAAGAATTTCTTAGTTAATGCTGAGCAGGTGAAGCTATTCTCTGTTGTGACAAGAATGGACAGGGCCTTCCTTGTCGCTACCTCTCCCCTTCCCTAAGACCTTTTAGAGTGCCTTCCATCCTCAAAACTTACAAAGTATCTCCATATATATATATATATATATATATATATATATATATATATATATATATATATCATAGAAAAAGTTTCATAAATTACTTGTTCTTTTTCTCTAAAGAAAAATGATAGAGATAGAGAAGAAAGGAAGGAAGGAAGGAAGGAAGGAAGGAAGGAAGGAAGGAAGGAAGGAAAAGGAAGGGAGGGAGGGAAGGAAGGAGGAATGGAGGAGGGAAGGAAGGAAAAAAAAGGCGGAGATCATCATTCTCTAAGTGCTTAGGTTCCTTAATCTTGTTTTAAGAGCCCAGACCTAACTGGGTAGTCTTCGGTATGACAGCCAAAGAAACCATGGCATCTGGAGAAAGCCCTCTTACCAGCACCCATCAGGAGGAGTGCCAACAGAGCAAGCGAAGCCCATCACAGAGGCGGCTGAGCCAAAGCAGTCCCCTTCTATAATTTTATTCTACAAGTTGTCTTCCTGCAAGTCTTTACTTGTAACTAAATGTAGTTAACTAGCAATACATACAGAATGTGGAGGAGAGCGGGGTGCCACGCGGAAAAAGCGAGCAGAAATGAGAGTTACAACGCTAACAGGCGCCTAGAGTCTCCCTGGCGAATCCTGAGCCACCTTCTCATACCCTGCCTATTCCTCAGCTCCCCGAGCCGCCCAGACCAGGGTGGAGAGGTCTTCCGGGAACACACTGCCTAGAGATGCCCGAGAGGGGGCTGCTGCGTGGAGTTGGGTGTGAAAGTTACATCCTGCGTCCCCGCCGGCACACAACTCCATCCAGTCCCCAGCGCCAGAAGAAAAAGGAAGCGAAATCCAGGCTGCCCCCCGGTCTTTTACCTGAGTTTTTCCCCAGCAAGGCTCCACTAACTGGCCTTGCGAACAGGGAGGCAGGATGCCTTGGTTTGGAAGAAGTGTCTGCGGGCATCTGGTCAAAACATGTGAAAAATAAAAATCACCAAGCCCCTCGAACTCTGGGCTGGAGGCAGGTCGAGCCCATCCCAGTCATATTCCTGTACGCTCCCCCTCTCCTGGACGCTTCTCAATAAACGTCTCCCCCGTCTTGCACCTTCTGCCCGGCCACTTTCTGCTTACTTTACCCCAGTCCTCAAGTCCCAGACTGGCTAAGCCCCCCAACCTTCTCCAGTTCCCCCTTATTCCATTCCTCGATTGTTCCCTTCCAACCCACAGGGCCACCTCAAACTCTCCACTCCGCGCGCCCCCAGCCCTACGACCCAAACAGCCCCAGGCTCCGTTTCCGAATCGGCCACCGGAGCGGTTTTCCCGCCGAAACGCTTCCCCAGCGCGCGAGGCGCGCGGCGGGCCAGGTACTCACCAGCTGCAGCAAGCCGGGGACCACGACCAGGGGCAGCGGCCGTAGACGCATGGTGCCGGCTGGCGCTGCGTCTCAAGAGCTGCGCGCCCTCGCCTGCCTCTCGCGCATCTCCACTTCGGGGGGCAGGACTGAGGACGCCAGGGACACAGCGAGGCGCTTCCCTCCCGGAATCCGAGAGCAGCGCCGTGCAGCGCGGGCCGGGTGGGCGGGCGGGGAAAGGGGAGGGCGGGCGATGCCTCTCAGGCCCCCGCGCGCCCCTCCTTGGAGGGGGCCTGGAAGGAGCTTGCGGGCTCCAGCGGCACCCAGGACTCCGGCGTCCGGGGATCGCGGTGAGCGCCGGGGCGCCCGCCGGCCGGAGGCGGCGGCTCCTGGGCTTTGGTGCTGGGTTCCCGCGCAAGGCTGCTTAGCGATCCAGCCCCGCCGTGCGGCTGCGGGTCAGAGCTGAGCGCACCCCGGAGCCCGGTGAGACCCGGTGCCTCTTCCGCCCCCGCCCAGCAGAGTGCCGGTCCTGGAGGCTCGACTGGGCTAGGCACCCTGCCTGCTGACCCGCTCTTTTGCTGTGGAGTTCTCCCTGCGTGGACGCGGGAAGGGGCGCACTGAGAGAGTGCCCAGGGAGTTTGGGGGGATGGCGACGGCAGGGTCCTGGGCGGGGCGAGGGGGGCTGCGAACAGGAATGGTTAGGGCCAAGAGGTAGGGCTGGAGCCTGGGACACCCAGGAGGAGCGCCCTGCTCCTCGGCATCCCTGGCTGGAAGAGCCCCGAGCAAGGGGTGGAAAGTGTGGCCGGCGCGGCTGGAAGAATTTGTGGAAGTGGGAAGTAGTGGGAACCGAGAGGGACCTCGAGGAGGGGTAGCGCCTGGGCTGGGACAAACCCAGCTAGGTGTAGAGTCCCGGCTTACTCAGGTTTGAGGATTGTATAGACAGCTGGGTGTCGCGGAGACCCACACAGTTGCGCTGCGGGGACCTTCTGCTCTGGCGCGGGAGGACAGGAGTAAAGAGAGAAGACCCCGCCGCAGCCTCTCACTCCATAAATCTTGGAAAGGGGTATCTTCCAGGCGGGAGACCCGCTGCCAGTGAACCTCACCCCCACGTTAACAACTCTCCATTGAAGAAACCCGTAACATTTAACTATCTCTGTGCCGGACGCCCGAGTGGACAACTCAACCGGCAACAGGCTCGCAGATCCCCACAACGTTTCCTGTGGATAAGAATTTAGACACTATCCATCAACCCCTTTACTGAACAGATGGGAAATCTGAGGCCCAGAGAGGTAAAGTTACTTCTCCAAGGGTCAGTCTCTAGGCAGCTGCCTCAACAGAATAGCAAAGAGAAGCTATTTCCACATGCAGAACCACAAAGTTCTTACAGAAAAAAACATATTGAGGCAAAAGAATGGAATTGCGGTTGATTTTCAACCTTTGAAAAATAAAACACAACAAGTGAAGTTTGGGTTGGAATTTTCTGAAAAAAAAAAAGTTTTCTTCTCTTCCTCTCACTACCCCCAACGCACCAAAATAGAAATACAGAAGGAGTTTGTAAGTGGTCCAGGACCGTGTTTCTTTGTCCTGGGTCCCAAGGGCAGGAGGATTGACTTGGGTAGAGCAAGGGCCCATCTTTCCTTTCACAGATGTGCCAAGATTAAGGACTTGAGGACAGAGGTTATTCCAGAGTGTTCTGGGATCCCAGTGTGACTTTCAGAGGTGTTGTACTTGAGGCTACAGGTGGAGTATCTCTCTAACACTGCTCCATTCTCTGTATGGAGGGAGAGGAGCAAGCCAGGGCCCCGCATCCTTCCTAACCCCTTGGCAAGCCTGACTGGGAGATTCTAGGGCCCTCTGGCAAAGGACGCACCAGCTCCATCCCACTCCTGTTTGTCCGCAGACTCTTCCTATTCCTTGCAACAGACTCTCAAAAAAACGAACAAAATCACTACTTGCATTTTTAAATCTAGAACTCATCTCCTATGGCTACCCCTCATCTCCACAAAAGTTCTCTCTTTACCAATACTTAGAGCCCATTTCTAGAAAGTTATTCTATACTAGAAGCATAAATAAGATAATTTCAAAAATTGGAAGAGGTCACCATAGCTTGATCTTCTTGTCTAAGTCTCTGGATAGGTCTGCATTGTATTTACAGGCAATCCTTGAAAAACTTGAAGGACTTCATAGAGAAAGGTTTGGCAGACAGAGAAGATCCCCTTTTTGTAGAGGTGTCGCTGGAAGCGGGAGGAGGACAAACAGCTTTGCAAGATTTAGACTTCAGTTAGACTCAGTGTCCTCTCTGCCAGAGCCTCAACTGGCTCATCTATGAAACCAGAAGGTGGGGTCCCTTCTTGATTTAGCAGTTGCCAAGTCTTATCACTCTCTAAGTGAGGAGGGCATGACTTAACACACTACTGAAATAAATAATTAAGTGAGTTAATGACTGGAATACTTCACTCTTTTAAAACATTTTTTTTCATATTTCTTAGACCATTTCTGTGTTGAGAATACTTGCACATAAAACTTTAAAGTAAAACTTAAACTTGAAAGTGTGTCCTAGTAATATTAAGTATTGTCACAAAGGAATGTGCTGAAGAGTGTTGAATTCCAAGCTAAAAGCTAAGGTACACAGGAGAACGTGTGTGTCCAATTGATCAGGCTGTGTAAGAGAGAAGCACCAAGGACCCTGCTGACTGACATCCCGTATTACTATATTTATAAGGTGACTAGTGATAATTCACTGTATTCTCCAAATTTTGCCATACATACTATGGAAAAAATGGAAGGAAGGGAGAGAGGAAGGAAGACAGAAAGATAGAAGGATAGATAAAAGCGTTTAATAGAGTGCATCTGTTCTTCAGAACGTGCAGTCTAACCAGGAAACATGTAACAAACATGTGGGAGAAAAGGGGGACAGCCATTCCTTGTGGGAGGAACAGCATGAGCAAAGGCACAGTGGAAGGACTTCCTATGACATACTTGAGGAGCAGACAACAAGTAGACCAGACCGACTGGAGGAAATGCATTGAGGAAAAAGTGAGAGGAAAGGTAGGTTATGGGCTAGACCAGGGTTCAACAAACTGCGGCTCGCGAGGCACATGCAGCTCTTTTGGTATGTACTTGTGGCTCTGAAGTAAAATTGAAAATGAAAATAAAACTATCCTAGTTTCATTTATAAAAATTTTAAAGGATATTATTCACATAATGGTGAATAATTTGTTTTGTGGCTCTCGAATAATTTTTAAATTGTTGTGAAGGACAGGATTGGCTCTTCTGTCTCAAAAGTTTGCCAACCCCTGGGTTAGACTATAGAGATCTGGGAATGCCAACCTAAACAGTTTAGTTTGATTTGCAGAAAATAAAGAGTCTTAAAACTTTTTGGAATAGACAAGTCATACATTGAGTAGCATGAAGATATATGCAGTCGTAATATGCAGGATGGTCTTGAGGAAGTTGCAGGAGAAGACAGTCATCATCGTAGTTGGGAGAAAAAAAAATAATGGAGAGACATAGGTGTAAGAGCTATTTTAAAGGAATAGTGAACTGACCTTGGGGTTGAATCTTTAAAAACAATCCTTTGCACATTAGAGGACTTCTGTAAACATCTCTTTCTTAGAGGCAATTAACAACTAGACAATCAGATTACTGCCTTTTCGTTTTCCCAGGGTGGTTTTCACAATGTGAGGGGAGTGAAAATGGCCATTTCATATAAGACAAGTAGCAGAAAGTGGAACCTACCAAATTTTAGTACCATATGATTCCATCATAGTCTTTTAAGATTGCAGCTTATGGGAATATTGTCAATGCTTTGAAAGCAAATTTGTCAGCTTGTTGTCAGTGGCTCATTTGGATCATCAGCTCTTTTTCTTGTGCTTCTCTGTACTTACTTTCTCACCCTTAACTGTTCATTAGCATCATTACCGGAAAGTTGATAAGAACATAACATGCAGTATAACATTTCAGAATTGCAGTGGATATTAGACATTAACCAACTTTCTCACTTTGCATTTAAGGAAACAGAAGCTCAAAAGGTTATGTGTGTTGCTTCGGGTCATCTTAAGAGGTGTGGGCAAACCTGAAACTTGATTCAAGGCCTTCGGTGTCTCAGTACAATACTCTTTCCAATTCACCATTCTGCCTCAGGTGTTTTTCAGCTGGCCAGCAGTTATACAAGTTTTGATATAGTGAATGAATGAACCTTTCACTAATAAGAGTTGTGGGAATGATCTATGGATGCTAAAAGCCCCAAAGTCTATCTTATTATCAGGAAAAGACGTTTGATGGTACTGAGCCTGAAGCATTGATCTGGTAATAATTTTAGAAGGGCAAGAGATAAGGAGAATTACATGGCATAGGGTTACTGTGCAGTCTCAGAGAAGTGGGATTTGAGACTCAAGGACATGGCAGTAGTTACCCCAAGGATACAGGGTATTCTCAGGGAGGCTTTGGACCTCTTAGACCTGTGTAATAAGAAGCTGGTGGGCTTTTTTGATAGCAATTCTTAACCATTAAAATCCTCTTGAGTTGCCACTCTTGTTGAGTAATTGAATATTCTTGAGTCACTATTTAATAAAACATGATGCTATATAACATTGACTCCCAGTCCTGATTGCATATAGAATCACTGGGAACTTTCACATCTCTAAAAGTGAGCTTGAGCATTGAGACTTTTCATATAGGAGTCTTCACTATACAGTCATGGTTGAGAACTACTACTCTTAACAGAAACTTATTTATTTCTCTTTCTTTCCTTCCCTCCTTCCTTCTTTCCTTTCCCTATAGAATGGTGGCCCCCACATTTGGAATGCACTGAGGGTTTGAAAGAATATACATTAGAACCTGCATTTGTCCTTAATTCTATAGGACTTTTCAGGAGAGACCTGGATGTTTTCTTTGTGGATATGATTGGGGGAATTTATAATTTTTATCACATAAACTTATTAGTTGCTCCAAGTTCTAACACAAATCAAGGATTCCTCTGTAGTGAAATTCTTTCTTCTCTTTTTTTGGTGGCCACAGCACTTTCTCTTCACCATCTCTTTTTTTATATGTCAGGAGGTGTTACCAGGAGTGTGCTGGTGGCTGACTGCCACTGTCAGCAGCTAAGAGGAGAGACTAGAGAGAGCGGAAGAGATCAGCCTAGGGTTCTGAGCAGGTCCTGTGATGAGAGGCAACTGGGTGAAGAGAACATCACACAAGACTGACGAGGCAGGAGAGTCTCCCTGTGTGCTCATATTACATCTCTGCCAACCACATCGGACTGATTTTTAGAAACCTCTCATTATCTTTCCATATGTGTTCCCATGCATTGTCCATATATATATGCATGATTATTTGACTGAATAATCAGCTTTTTGACCTGTACATCAAATTTGATTAGTGTCATTATTAGGAAATCATTGAACCTGCTTCAAATTGTTGCTTCATAGATGGAGAGAAGACAGGAGAACAGAGCCACAGAACGTTAGAATTCCAACATCTAACTTAACCCCTCAGTTTATAGATGAAGAAACTGAGGCCCAGAGAGGAAAAGTGATGTTTGCAAGGTCACACACCATGCCACTGCAGTAGATGATTCCAGCATCAGTGGCTCTTTTGACTATGCTAGGCTTACTCTGGGTAGGATGCTGTTGTGGAGTGCCTGCTGTCCAATCCACAGTGATTAAGAAGGGACAGTGAAGGAAAACCACATTTACAGAACACTATCTTAGCTAATCAAAGGAAATTTTCCAATCTGAGACTGCTTAGGGTTCCTAGAAAAGGGAAGACAGAAATCTGGGAGAAAAAGATTGGGATGAACTCCCACCTCCCCTGCATATCAGTAGGGCACTTTGGGT